GACTTCTGCTTGAAATCCAGCATTTACATTTAGATGTAAGACACATGTGCAGCTACCAGTCTGATATAGCCTATGCACTAACAACACAAAGTGTAACCCTGAAAAACTTTAGTCATATTACTGTTCATCTAATAAATCAGATTACTGCTGTACATGTGACTTTTGTTTAGATTTTTTGTATATGTTCAAAAATGTTTTGGATATCAGCTGTCATATCAGAGAGCTGTTCTACCTTTTAAGACACCAGTCTGCTGTAAATCAGCTCTGACAGAACACAGATAACAGATTTTATAGATGAGCTGCTTTTAGAACAACACATTTAATAACCCCTTTGAAAATGTAATTGTGCTGATTTTCTGATTGTCAGCAAACTCAGAGTGCTTATGATCCTGCAGCCATGAATACATCTTGTATTCTATTGAGCAAAGGCAATATATGTGTACACACACACACACACCTACCCATCTATATATAATGAAAAAGTTTTTTAATTTAGTTTTTAAAAATCTTCTGCTATGCTGAGATGATCCTGCTCTTTTTCCACACAGAGAGAATCCTACTGAGCACGTGCAGATCAAATTTCAGCCCTCTAGCTTGTTTATCTGAAACAGCCATTAAAAAAGTGGTTAAAAAGTGACTTTTTGAGAGTAAAATGTCCTGGTATCTCCTTATGTTCCCTTCTGCTCCCCCTACAGTTTTGGTGTTTAGGACATGGAAATGGTTTTCCAATTTTCTATTGTGTGCTCTTCTGCTGCTGTAGCCCATCTGCTGTAAGTGTGTGTTCAGGCATGCTCTTCTGCATACCTTGGTTGTAGCGTGTGGTTATTTTACTTACTGTTGCCTACTGTTGCCTTCCTGTCAGCTCACAGCTGTCTGCCCATTCTCTTCTGACCTCTGACATCAACAAGGCTTTGTGTTAGGGAGAACTGCTGCTTGCTGTATGTACTCAGTGCATTTAGGAATGTAGACATGGTCAAGATCATGTCTAAGTCCATAATCCCCTATGTGTTTTCTCTGACACTGACTGGGTTTCTTTCCACAGGTGAGGCTGGTCGGATGTCTTTGGGGTTTTTTTGTAATCTGTAGTTGTGAGCTTGTGACAGAGTCCTTAGATCAATCGCTCAGACACCAGGACTGACGAAGAGACTGAGCAGCTTCTTTTCTCAAAATATTTCTTCCACACATGAAGGTGGAAAGGGTGTGAAGTGAGCTCAGCAGGTGAGTCTTTCCAGAGAAAGCTGTTTCATGATGCTGATTGGCTGTTTGCTGTTTGTTGGTATAAAACATGAAGAGAAAAAAGAATTTCTTATTGTTTAGGAACAATAACTTTACAGTGATTCATTTACTTTTAAGTGTTCGAACCATCAGGTAACACTGAAGACCAGTGTTGGGAAGGTTACTTTTAAAATGTATTCCACTACAGATTACAAAATACATGCCCCAAAATGTATTTTGTAATGTATTCCGTTATACGTTACTCAATAAGAGTAACGTATTCTGAATACATTGGATTACTTAATATATTATCATGCTTTTTTACAACTACATGAATGTACTATTGCTGTGTGATTTATTACTATTACTGAAGGCTACTCGCCATACCATTACCAACTAGAGTTTTAAATCTTAATATAAAATGAGTAACAGTAGGGTGGACATTAGGTAAGGTTGTATAGAAAACTATTCCGCGTGTATATAAAACAGGTCTGCGGCTCCAAAACGTAGTAAAGGGACCGCTGGCTAAAACGTCTGGTTCCGTGTCGGGCTCGTAACCGAAAACTTGCTTTACTTTGTTGTCTGGGTCAACTTTGCTAGCGAGAGACAGAGAGAGGCGTTGAAAGGCTGCTCCAACTGAACTCATTGTTTCTGAGGAAAACACGAAAAAAGTGTACAGCCGATTCTTAATAGCTTACTTACAACTGGGCTCATCAGGCACTCTTTTTGGCTGCAGTGGTTATTATTATATTTACATGCTTCCATCTCCCGTTTCTGCTCGGTGACAACTCGTACTTTTCGACTCTCCTTTTTCTCCCTCCCTCGCTCACAGACACATAGCGGGTATGTCAGTCCATTCTCCCTGCAGCACGGACTATACTGCCCATGAGGCTACATTCTTTAGGGCAATGCCTGTAACACTCTGTCTATTGCCTTCATATTAAATAAATAAAAATATTTATTCACGTCATTATGAGACGCTAGATTGAGACACAGCCATTTGAGCCTCTTAATGCGTGTTTTGTTTGGGCATGGAATTATCATAAATAGAGAGGGCATAGCTTAACATATGAAACAGGAAACGATCTTTTCCTGTTCCTGACCGCCGTGTTATCCCTTTATTTCAACAAAGTAATTGTATTCTGAATACCACCTTTTTAAACTGTACAGTTACTCATATTTTGTATTTTAAATACGTAACGGCGGTACATGTATTCCGTTACTCCCCAACACTGCTGAAGACCGACTGAAGGCACACAGGAGAAGATGTTTGGATTCTGTTTTCAGACAAAATATTATAGATGTTTAAATCCGTGTGATGTGTGTGTGTGTGTGTGAACTAATATATGTGGTGATATTAATGTTGCTGTGTCTGTGTGAAGGTGTGGCTTCTGCTATGGATCAGTGTGAGCACAGAGAGGAGGGAGTCCCTCCCTCTAAATCCACTCCGTGTGGGGAACATGACAGCGAGACCAAAGCTCAGAGGTGAGAGGACTGTCTCTAGCTGTCAGGACCCTTCTCCAGGTCACAGTCACCTGTGTTTGTCATGATCAGAGACACAGAAATCAAACGAACCAACTGTTTAACTCTCTGACATGTGAACTCTCTGCAGTCACTACATCTGTGTGGTCATCACCTTTTCTTAATGCAACAACCTCAGTTAAAAAACAAAAATAAGTCAGAGTTTTAAATCTTGAGAGAGACAAACATCAAATTGCTGCCAGTACACAAACTTATTTCTGCTGCTGTGTTTAGTCTCACAAAACACCATAATCTGTTTTTTACCGTGTCATCTACTTACACACCAGGTAGAAAATACACAATGGATTGGTTGCTATAAATTGGTTCTACAGTTTGGGGGGGGGGTTGTGTTTTTCAGTTGGTTACTGGAAATTGTTGCAGCTGCTTTGAATCCAAACTCACTGTGCTACTGTGCTCACTATGCAGTCCCTGTTTTTTTTTCTATCAGAAAACACAAGCCCCTCCTTCATCCACCGGTGTGTCCTTCAAGAGTAATCAATCTATGATTCAACCCATTATATTCAAAGATGAAGACAAACATGCACATTCTTCACTTACAAAATTTTAATTGATTTTTGTTCAGTGATGACAATAAATAACATGTTAAAGAAAATAATTACAGTTATTCAGAGGCTCAATGAGGCTCCACGAATTTTAACAAGAGAATTAAACAGAGCGAGTGATTTAGTGAGTCTGCAAATCATTCTAGAGTTTAAACCCTGTGATAATAAGACAAGGTTGTCTTGATGTTACATGTGATTGATGCACAAACCCTTTTAGACCCTCTTCACTCTGTTAATGTTGGAAAGAGGCAGCTGTTCCATAACATATGACTAATGGTACCATCAACCAAACAGGAGACAGAAGCAGACACTTTTGAGGAATTTTGTTGTTGAGTATTGTTGGAAAGTTGTTTTTGTGCATTGCACCAGAAAAACTGCAAAAAACTGGCTGCCAGAGTTTACCCAGACTCCCAGTGCAGCTTCACACCAAAAAGATCAGCTGATATGATTTTTTCATTGTGACAACGTCACAACAAATGCAGAGTAACAGTTTACTTATAGCATTTATTGACAGACCCTTGTCCAACCCCTTTGCCTTGGTGTCAAAGAAGGATGTGTGCATGCCCCAACATTTTTCAGCATTTTTCTTTTCCTTACTTTTAAATCATGTGTTTAAAGACAGCACTGAAGGAATCTGCTTAGTTTGAAGGAAAGACCAAAGTTCTATGTTTGGCATACCATGTAAAGACAAGGTCACCAACAAAGAGATACTTGCCACAACAGGACTACCAGCCATCTACACCATCCTCAAACAAAGACGAGTGTGCTGAGTTGGCCATGTCATAAGAACGGATTATGGACACATCCCAAAGACCTTTTGTACGGAGAACTGAAAATTGCTCTGTGTGTAAAAGAGACATGAAGAACACTGGCATGGAAGGCCAAAGGTGAACAAGTTATTTAACAAAATGAGGAGACATGTGACAAAGACCTAGAGGGGTGATTGGGAGGAACGGACTTCCTGATATGAAAAATAATTAAATGATCATCCCTGCAGCCACATAAGTTAAATACTCAGGTGAGGAGAGAAACAGCTGACACCTGAGCTGGATTAGGTGGCGGGTAGGATCCTGGACAGAGCTGGTATAGCCAAACATACAGAGTGCACAGGGATGTTCAGTTCCCACCTCTGGCAGAAATTCAGTACTATTCCAATTTTGTGACTGAGTGGACCATGTTCTGCACCTCCAATACAAAGGAGCTTTTCCAGTTCAATTCAGTGCCAAACACACACAACAAGATATGAGGTAAAAATTCTACAACACAGAAAAAACACCAGCAATTAGAGGAGTCCCAATGAGCAAGCACTTGGTGACAGTGGGAAGGAAAAACTCCCTTTGAAAAGGAAGAAACCTCTAGCAGAATCAGGCTCAGGGAGGGATGGCCATCTGAGGAAGACGGGAGTAAAATCTATTTGAGCTTACAGTGGAAATCAGTTGGGGACCTATTCTTAGGTACCCCCAAATATCAAACCCCACTCCGAATCACAGTTTGTAGCTATGAACAGCTTAATCAATAAAGTTTTAAAATCATTCTATAAAACAAATAGTCTCGGAGAACCAAAGATTTTGTGCTAACGAGAGTCGAGTGAATTATTTTTAATTCTTAACAGACCTGTACACATGCAATATTATCTGTTTCATTAGAATACCAACATTTGCTGTGAATACCTTAAATAACACACGCATGGTATTCTTTATTTTCTCATTTCAGAATCAATAAGGAGACACTGTTGTCTACTTCACTGAGCTGTGTCTCAATGAAGAGTGACCGATCTATGATTCAACCAATAACCTTTTCAAACAGAGAGCGGTCTTTTGTTACAGGGTGAGAACTGAAACTGTTGATTGTGTTTCTTCTTTAAAAACGTCATGTCCAACAGCAAGACCAGCACTTGCATTAGTGATCACTTTGTGTTCATACCAAGACTCATCATTACAAAAAGGAACACCTTTAACAAACTGCACATATGCTAACATTGAACGTTTTTGCAGTGTTTTGCAGAGCTCAGAGACTCTCAGTGGTCAGTCTGATCTGGACTCCATATTTACGGTGAGAAGATTCAAGAGTCAACAGTTTAATATCACATCAATGAGGAAAAAGTAATTTAGTTTCCATCTCTCCTTAAACATGAGACTCAGTGAGAGAATTACTAGATTCATTTAGTTAAAAACATTATGAAGGTTATAATGTGGAATATATGGTCCTAATTTTGTCAAAACCTTAATAGATGAAAGTTTAAAGTTCTAAATGTATCCTTTTTCCAGACGCTGGAGGACAAAATGTTCAGTTTTTTAAAGAATGAGCTGAAGAAGATGAGGAAGGTCGTGCTTTCAGACTATCCAGAATGGTTAGAGTGTCAGAGGGAGGATGAGGAGGTGCTGGAGGCTGAGGATGAAGAACAGAGGAGGAGCAGTAGAGAGTCATTTTTGAAGATCACGCTGCAATTCCTTAGGAAAATGAAGCAGGAGAAGCTGGCTGAGTGTCTGCAGAGCAGTAAGAGGATTTGAACACATGCACAGCATTTCCTCAAGTTTGTCTACAACCCCAGCTGTTCTATGCCCCACAGTCTGAGAAACACTCTGTTGGATCTATAAATTTTTCTTTATCTAAACATAAATGATGTGCGCCATGATTAACACAACACCCTGGTGCATGATAGAGACATAAACATTTATGCATCTTTTGTTTTTATGTTTCCATTTGTTTATCTATAACTTTTGTGGTCAGACATACTACATTATAGATGGTTGATTACATCAGGAAAGCCCATAAATCAATGGCTAAAGTAGGTGATAGGCAGAGGGTAGGTGAATCACAGAGAGCTGAGGGAATCCAAGGTAATCCTGTCAGTTCTTAAATAAAGGAAACACCACGGCAAATATTCTAATCAATTCTAATGTTTGTTTGTTTTTTAATTATTAATTTAGGAACTCGTGCTGCAAAGTGCCAAAAAAACCTGAAGTCTAATCTGAAAAAGAAGTTCAAGTGTGTGTTTGAGGGGATTGCTAAAGCAGGAAGCTCAACCCTTCTGAATCAGATCTACACAGAGCTGTACATCACAGAGGGAGGGACTGCAGGAGTCAATGATGAACATGAGATCAGACAGATTGAAACCGTATCCAGGAAATTGAACAGACCAGAAACTGCAATCAGACAAGAAGATATATTTAAAGCCTCACCTGGAAGAGATGAACCAATCAGAACAGTGCTGACAAAGGGAGTGGCTGGCATTGGGAAAACAGTCTTAACACAGAAGTTCACTCTGGACTGGGCTGAAGACAAAGCCAACCAGGACATCCAGTTCATGTTTCCATTCACTTTCAGAGAGCTGAATGTGCTGAAAGAGGAAAAGTTCAGCTTGGTGGGACTTGTTCATCACTTCTTTACTGAAACCAAAGAAGCAGGAATCTGCAGCTTTGAAGACTTCCAGGTTGTGTTCATCTTTGATGGTCTGGATGAGTGTCGACTTCCTCTGGACTTCCACAAAACTGAGACCCTGACTAATGTTACAGAGTCCACCTCAGTGGATGTGCTGCTGATAAACCTCATCAGGGGAAAACTTGTTCCTTCTGCTCGCCTCTGGATAACCACAAGACCTGCAGCAGCCAATCAGCTCCCTCCTTCATGTGTTGGCATGGTGACAGAGGTCAGAGGATTCAGTGACCCGCAGAAGGAGGAGTACTTCAGAAAGAGATTCAAAGAAAAGGAGCAGGCCAACAGGATTATCTCCCACATCAAGAAATCACGAAGCCTCCACATCATGTGCCACATCCCGGTCTTTTGCTGGATCACTGCTACAGTTCTGGAAGATGTGCTGAAAACTAGAGAGGGGGGACAGCTGCCCAAGACTCTCACTGAGATGTACATCCACTTCCTGGTGGTTCAGGCCAAAATGAAGAAGGTCAAGTATGATGGGGGAACTGAGATAGATCAGCACTGGAGTCCAGAGAGCAGGAAGATGATTGAGTGTCTGGGAAAACTGGCTTTTGATCAGCTGCAGAAAGGAAACCTGATCTTCTATGAATCAGACCTGACAGATTTTGAAGTAATTATCAAGGATGCCTCAGTGTACTCAGGAGTGTTCACACAGATCTTTAAAGAGGAGAGAGGACTGTACCAGAACAAGGTTTTCTGCTTCATCCATCTGAGTATTCAGGAGTTTCTGGCTGCTCTTCATGTCCATCTGACCTTCAGCAACTCTGAAGTCAACCTGCTGGAGAAACGGCAAAAAAAAGATCAGCATTCTTTAAAACATCTCCACCAGAGTGCCGTGGACAAGGCCTTAGAGAGTTCAAATGGTCATCTGGACTTGTTCCTCCGCTTCCTCCTTGGGCTTTCACTGCAGTCTAATCAGACTCTCCTAAAAGGTCTACTGACACAGACAGGAAGTAGTTCAAATACTGATGTGGAAACAGTCCAGTACATCAAGAAGAAGATCAGTGATAATGAGTCTGCAGAGAAAAGCATCAATCTGTTTCACTGTCTGAATGAACTGAATGATCGTTCTCTAGTGGAGGAGATCCAACAGTCTCTGACTTCGGGAAGTCTCTCTACAAATAAACTGTCTCCTGCTCAGTGGTCAGCTCTGGTCTTCATCTTATTGTCATCAAAGGAAGATCTTGATTCATTTGAACTGAAGAAATACTCTGCTACTGAGGATGCTCTTCTGAGGCTTCTGCCAGTGGTCAAAGCCTCCAAAAAAGCTCTGTAAGTCGATTTTTGAACCATTATATTTGTTTTTATATTCTTGATTGTTATCTTCATTGATATTTTTTTCTCTCAGGCTGAGCTGTTGTAACTTGTCGTGGAGAAGCTGCAAAGCTCTTTCATCAGTTCTCAGCTTCGAGTCTTCTAGTCTGAGAGAGCTGGACCTGAGTAACAATGACCTGCAAGATTCTGGTGTGAAGCTGCTGTCTGATGGACTAAAAAGTGTACACTGTAAACTTGAAACTCTAAGGTAATGATTCAGTGTGTGTGTGTGTGTGAGCGAGAGAGGGAGAGAGAGAGATTTACGTGTTATTTTAAATTGCAATATTATTATTTATGCATGCTCATCCTGGACTTTTTTCTTCTTTCAAAACTTTAGTCTCTCAGGTTGTCTGATCACAAAAGATGGAGGTGAATCTTTGGTCTTGGCTTTGAGGTCTAACCCCTCCCATCTGAGAAATCTTGATTTGAGCTACAATCATCCAGGAGACTCTCATGTGGAGGAGCTTTCTAAGGGAGTGAAGAATACTCAGTGGAGACTGGACAATCTAAGGTATGAACAAGAGTTCACATGGTGTTGGTTTATCTAACTTGTTTTGGGTTTTTTTTAGCCTTTTTGCTTTTTGCTTTTTTCTGTTCATGGGAAAGGTATAAAGCGATTCTATGTAAAGAAATGTGCAGACCCCAGAGGAGTCATGGAACAAGTCCTGACTGTTGTTTGTGCTTATATACCGAACAACAGAGGATGCCCTATCAGGGAAGTCTATGGTCCTATTGGTGTACCGGTAATGTTTGAGGCCCTGGTCTGAAAAACCTTAAATTCTCACCTTTGACAGAGCTTTGAAAGCCTTCCGAAAGATAAACAGGGCATACTAAGTCCAAAAGGACCATGTCATAGAACTCCTTGGCTGAGGAGTCTGTATAAAGCTGTGGCCTCATGGTGGTTGGCATGTGTCATTATATTAATTTCAAAATCAGATGGTGGACACTAAAAGTGACCAGAGCCATCAAACTGAATAAGTCCTTAGTTAGCCCGCTGGACTCCTGAGACAACTTACAGGTACTGCAGCCCAAGAAGACTGTGGTTCTTACAGTAGCTGTGCAAAAACTCACCTTTAGACTGAGTTTGATGGTGGCATAGAACTTAAGATTCTTCTCAAAGCATTTCTGGCAAACCTTCAGTCAACTTCTAGTTACTCGAAGTTACTAGTAACTACGAGTAAGTAGAAGTTACCTAAAGCGGCAGCGCCCAGATTACTTACGTAGACAGCTACTTCGGTGCAACTGATATAAGGTGCGGTAAGCTGAAGGCAGCTTCAACCAACTGTTTGTTGAAAAATAGTAATGCGACTGCACTGCATTTTCTTGTTAGTAACGGTAACGGTGTTGTAACGATAAAAATAGTAATTGGTTAGATTTCTCATTGCTGAAAAAAGTAACACTGTTACTTATAATGCCGTTATTCTCATCACTGGTTGTTTCTGACTTCAGTTGAGGATATAGTCAGCCAGTGAATCCAATACTTTAGGCACCTCCTCAATTCTTCCAATATCCATCCTTAGAGAAAGCAGTGTCTAGGAATTAAAGGGGACAACTTAGGCATCACTAGGCTGAGTTCACTAATGGTCTTAAATAAGTCCTTGGTGGCAGGGAATTTTTGGTCGATGAGATTTCCCCTTATGTTTCTTAAGGTTCTGGATGTGGTGGGGCTGTCGTGGTTGACACATCTTTGTAATGTTGTTTGTCTGGGGTAGATCATCGGGGTTGGCAGGGTCAGGTGATGGTTCCTGTCTTTAAGAAGGGGAACTGAAGGCAGTGTTCCAATTATAGAGGTATCCCACTACTCAGCCTCACTAAGATCTGTCCGAGAGTACTGGAGAGGAGAGTCTGTTCTGCTCTGTTTTGAAGACACAGCAGGGCATGAAAGCAAAAGTATCGATTTACCGGCCGATCTTTGTTTGCATCCACCCCTATGGCTACCAGATCCAGATCACGACTGAAAGAATGAGACTGCAGATACTAACGGTGGACATGAGTTTCCTCCAAGGGGTGGCTGGGCTCTTCTTTAGCTCTTTAGCTTTCGGTTCTGAATGGGACTGACAAACACACACAGGTTTTTAAGAATACACTTTTACCCTTTTTTAGCTTCATGAAAGCATGACCCATAGCAGTCTCTGCTGAGAAGAGAATATATTTAAAACTGGCTGTGTTTCAGCATGTTTCTATATCAATCAGGAATTGGTGCTTCATGTTGAATAGCAGTACGTACTCATTATAGATAAAACTCATTATGTTTTTCTCCCTCCAGAGTGAACCATTGTGGAGAGCAGTGGCTAAAACCTGCACTACTGAAGTGTAAGTCTCAGAAATGATAACAAAATGTTTATGTCAAACCTTCAAAACTACAGCCTCACAGTGGCTACAGGCATCTTTTATATACAGTCTTGTATATATTCATTCAGAAAGTATCATCATTAAACTTTCTATGACTGAGCAACATATCAGCAAGTAAAGAAAGAATAAAGCATCAAATATGTCAGATTATCAACTGCAGCTCCATCTTTTTCTTTCCAGATTCATGTGAACTCACAGTGGACACCAACACAGTGAACAGAAACCTCAGACTATCTGACAACAACAGGAAGGTGACACGTGTGAAACAGGACCATCCATATCCTGATCATCCAGACAGATTTGACTGCTGGCCTCAGCTCCTGTGTAGAAATGGTCTGACTGGTCGCTGTTACTGGGAGTTGGAGTGGGAAGGAGAAGTTTATATAGCAGTGAGTTACAGAAGAATCCAAAGGAAAAAAAAGAGTGATGAGTGTTGGTTTGGAGGAAATGATCAGTCCTGGAGTCTGAGCTGCTCTGATGGTGGTTACTCTGTGTGGCACAATAACAGAGAAACATTCATCTCCTCCCACTCCTCCTCGGTCTCTGACAGAGTAGCAGTGTATGTGGACTGTCCTGCTGGCACTCTGTCCTTCTACAGAGTCTCCTCTGACACTCTGATCCACCTCCACACCTTCAACATCACATTGACTGAATCTCTGTATGCTGGGTTTGGATTTGGGTTCTGGTCATCTGAATCTTTACTTTCTCTGTGTTCTTAGTGTACCTTTAATCTCATCACTGAGACAGGACACACAAAGGGACATCTTTTCATAAATGTAACCAAGTGGATTTAGAGCCTAAAGCTGACCAGCGAGTGAAGTAAAAGTGGTGAAAAGTGAAACATGTTAGAAAGAGAAGATGGCCTTAACAGGGTGTGAACTAGTGAACTTGTAAAGTAAAAACATGATGCATTTAAGGTTATCCTGTTTGGTTTTTATTTAAGAAGAGAATTTGTTCCACTGTGCGATGGCCGAGTCGCTTTGTTTGCTTGGAGATAGTTTCTCCTGCTTAGAGAAAATCCTCTCACACGAAACAGAAGAGGTTGCATTGCATAGAAACTGCACTGCAAGTTGGTAGGGATGCAGGTATACGATCTTCCTGGGTCCCACAAACTATCACAGAAAAAGAGTAAACAAAGTAAATTGCTGCACATTCTGTAGAATAACATTTTAAGATTATTTTAACAATGAATTTCTTTAATGATATGTATATTATGAAAAGCAGATGTTTTTTTAAGACATTTTAAGTTTTTCAAATTTCAGATAAAATAAATACACCCAAAACAAAGGCAAGCAACAAGAACAGAAAGCTGGCAAACCCACCTGATTGACCAAAATCAACTCAAATTACTCCCACATGACAGAACCTCCTCTCTTCCTCGCTGGCTCCATATCACTCATTAGAATGATCAGTGGTTTGCTATTTCTCACCATCAAAACACTCCACAAATGCTGCGAATGACTAATCACTTTCCTATAAACCACTGACTCAGATACTGAAGCAGTTAAATGAAGCTTCAGACGTCATTGATCATGTGACTCTGGCCAAAAGAATCAAGCCTCGACACAGTGCTTCTGAAGCAGTGTGTTGGTTTCTTTTGACACACCTGCCAGAGTGTCAGCTTCAAGCGGGCCATCACTACTGTGAACTGTAGTGCCCAGGCTGATAAACCAGAGATTAGGCAACAAATGGACCTTTGTTTTGTTTTCTGGAGCAATTATGTGTTAATTACACCCACACAGGCTCAACCCATCTTCTGGAATGATGATTGCAGTCTTGAAGCTGATCATCGTGCACACTCACATGGATTCATCTTCTTTGATCCATTGAATCAAAGTGGAGGCTCTGCTCTTTGAGTATGGGTGAACATACTCAGAGCTCACAGAGCTAACTCTGATCAGAGGGGCGTACATCGATTTTGGTGATGTAGAAAATGCACTAATGGTTAAAGGAGCTTGCAAAGAAAAGCGTCTGGACTTCTTTAAGTTGCTTGAAGACGTTTCACCTCTCATCCGAGAAGCTTCTTCAGTTCTAAGGTCAAATGGTGAGGAGTCCCAGATTTAAACCTAGTGGGAGTATCCCCCCAAAGAGGGACAAAAGGACCCCCTGATGATCCTCTAATCGCCTGAGCCGAGGTGTGAAAATGGGTGTGGGTCCCAATCAGCCAGGGTTTCGGGTGAGCTCGAAAGAAGTCCAGACGCTTTTCTTTGCAAGCTCCTTTGACTACGATGACCTGGATGACGGAGAACCTTCACAGACAAAATGCACTGTTTTTATTAGTGCTGTCAGCGTTAATCAACGCGCTAACATGTTGACGCCGGTCAGCCCCACGAATGGGACGATCCGTGATAACTCGTTAACAGAGATTTGCCACGTTAATGCAGTTATGGCGTTAACGTCATTAACAAGATTAACGCTAGTTTTTATGCTTGCTTCTAACACCACTAAGTCTGTTTTACACAGATGGATTCATTGGGAACTGAATAGATAAGAAAATTGATCATGGTCAATTTTCTGTGGGTATACAGAGACTAACCAATTTTAAATACATCAAGTTTAATATTTCAGAACTCTAATGTTGCTGTAATGTTAGAAATAAACAGCACCACAGATCTTGAGTACCGATTCCTCTGATCATGTATCTGGTCCTTTTTTTTTCATCCTGTCTGTAAGCTTTTGCATGGGAAAGGTGGAGAAAATATAATAAAATACAAATAGAAATGCACAATGTATTGACAACTGCTGCACCTGTAAGAAAAACAAAGAACCATACTCAGATTGTGTAAAACCTCCCTTCTGGACAAGGCCCAGAAGGATTCTAAGTTCCACTGTAAGCTTGTCTTACTGTCTGTTAATGTTCCACAACAGCAGGTTCAAAGTTCAGTGGCATGTGGTTATTGTATGACCTTAAATAATAAAAACTGTGGAGAACTGAATGTGGAGATTAGATTGAATCTGCAGACCAGCAAGCTCCTGTTTAGTCTTGCTTTTAGTTGCTTTACATTAGAAGTGGTTGATTAAGATTCATTTCACACAGATTATTTCTTCCATCAAACAGTAACGCAAACTGCTTCCTGCCTCTTCACTGTCAGCAGGTATGTCCAAAAAGTGTCCAAGTCTTTATAGGATTTTGTTGTATGTTGCTGCAGAGGTGTGTTCATGGGCATTTTTGTCTGTTCATGCATTTTCATTCATGTGACCATCTCAGGATGCTCTCTGTTAGAAAATCGTTATGCTAACGGAAGTTCAAGCTGGTCTGCAAGAACTGATATTCAGATGACTAAATGACCTTTTCACTGGTTTATGTTGGGCTATCACAACCCATCAGTCTATTTCATTTGTTTTAAAAAGCTTTCAGTTCAAAACTGTCTTCTACAACACGTCCAAATGTCAACCCTTATGATTATTTTTGGAAAACGTTTTTTTCAGAGTGGGGACCTTCACATTACAACCACCTCTGTGATGGAGAGATATTTTGTTTCCAGCCATGAGTTTCATTAATTGGTCTTGAGTACTGGGGGGACTCATCAAAAGGTTTATTGGTAGTATTATGATCAACCTCACTTCAGATAAAAAAAAAAACCATGAGACTTGTTACTTGTTTTTTGTTCTGTTTCTATCATTTACATAATCCTTAATAAGTCAAATTTGACTTTGACACAACAGGAAGCTTCAGTAACCAGATGGCATGCAGAAATTTGAAACAAACAAACAACACAACTTTTTACCTATAAATAAATGTCCTTTGATGTAATGACATTTACAGTTTTTACAACAAACAGAATGCTATCACACCGATCAGCAGCTGTAATTCATATCATACAAAATCAAAGTTCAAGGTTTTATTTTTCTGAGGTATAAAAATCACAAAAAGGTTCCTGATAACCTTATTGCTCAATGTGATTAAAACCCTACCGCCAAGATAAAACAACATGAAAGGAAATCAAATAAAACAGTTATTATAGATATTAAGATATACTGGTATTATGTTAACAAAGACCAGTTTACATTTTGAATATCAAAATGAATCCAAACCTTTTGTAATTGTTTGAATTACTGACAACAGTCAGAACAAATGTGTCCTGTGATGTTGTGTGAAGGTTTGGGATCTGCTATGGATCAGTGCAGGGAACATGAGAGTCGAACCAAACTGCAGAGGTGAGATGACCCATGAGATGGCCCATGACACATCATCTTATCTCTTCTAGTTAAGCACTCAAGTTAAATTATTATATATAATAGGAAGATCAAACACCACAAACGGGACTCGCCTGTACCCAGTTGTGTCTCCATGGAGAGCGATTGGTCCAAGGGTCCACATGTTGACTTCAAAGATGGACATCACCCTGCTGATCCAAGGTAAGAAGTCAAAGGAACTAAAACAGATTTGTTAGACAAAATGATTTCTTAACAATGTTGGAAGAAATATTGATTATTATTTATTTAATTATCTTAATAAAAGAAAAAAGTTTAGAAGAGCAAAAATTCAAAAGCGTTCAGAGTTTTTCTTCATGTGACCACTGTTTCAGGTTATTAATGAGTTCTCATTCAGGATAAACGAGTCCTTGTGTTTGCAGAAGGAGCCTGCAGCAGAGACCACACTCGCCTGTATCCAGCAGCGTGTCCATGCAGAGTGAGTGGTCCAAGGGTCCACATGTCGACTTTAAACATGAACAGAGGTCTGACCTCGGGTAAGAACTGCAAACTGAAGGTGCAGCTTTTTACAGTTTCAGAGGGGCAGAAAATGGATGGATGGATGGCTGTTTTAGCACTGCATTTAGAAATACCAGTTTCATCCACTTTATTTAACACGGTTTAAATTCTTTATAGCACGCTCCAACCATTCCATGGCTTTATGTTTTTAGCAGGAGGATTTACTTACTCATTCTAACTGACAGGTACTAAGACAAGTCGCATAGGATGGTGTCTAACATAAATGTGTTCCTATATTTAAAGGAAGATCCTGCAGCAGAGACCACACTCTTCTGTATTCAGCAGTGTGTCCATGAAGAGCGATCGGTCCAAGGGTCCACATGTTGACTTTAAACATGAACAGAGCCCTGATGATGCAAGGTAAGAGAGCAACAGGGTCGATTCAGGACTTATCTAAAACAGACATGACACATATTTTAGAATCAGGTTTTTATCCACATATAGATCAGAAGCAGCAGAAGAAGGATGGATGTATTGATCAGTGAGAAGACTGAATAGGTTATGTTTTATTATAGCATTTGCAAATGCCAACTTTTCCCACCACTTATAACATGTCCAGTCCCATTTGATTCTTTATGCTTGCTGCAACTATTACAGCACTTTGTGTCTTTTACCACTGTGGTTCACCCAGTGTGCTTGCTAACTGAAATCTCTCCCCCTGTGATTGTAGGAAGGTCAGACAACAGCAGCAGCGCTCTCCTGTATCTAGCAGTGTGTCCATGCAGAGCGAGCGGTCCAAGGGTCCACATGTTGACTTTAAACATGAACAGAAGTCTGACCAAGGGTAAGGACTCAAAGGTGCATGAGTTATCTGATACAGAGTACTGCACATATTTTAACTATCAATTTTATATCCTAATAAATCTGTCAGACCATAAAGCGCCCCGGATTATAAGGCACACTGTCGATAAACAGGTCTGTTTTCATACATAATGCACACTGGATTATAAGACGCAATAAGGGAAACAAAACAGTTCAGTCAGAGTTGAGTAAGTCGGACTTTACTCAACTTATTCTTCTTGCTTTCTCCACTTTTGTACCATTGATTCATTAATGTTGAATTCTCTTGCAGCTGCTCTATTCCCATGTTGTTAGTCCGTTTGGTCCATTTACACCGTCTTGCGATGCGTTTGCATTTGCTCCTAACCATCAGGAATGCTCGCGTTAACTTTTATTGAGTAGAAAAAAGTTAGCATTCTTCCTTCAGCTTCACTGTGTTTAAGTTATGCTAACATAGCTGTGTCGCCAGCAATCACGCAGCACATCATTATATACTATACCAGCTAGTCCAACTTCAGTAACCCTACAAAAGTCACTGCTGTTTAGTTTTCTGTCTTCATTTCTGTCTGAAGTGATAGCAGGGCTGTGTGTTTAATTTTTTTTCAGAAATCTCTCAGCCAGAACATGCTATATCATGTTTAGGTGGAAACTAGCAAGCTAAGTTCCTGTTAACTTCTAACGCAATTGAATTTAATAAATTCTTTTTTTTATCGATGTCTGGATGTTAAACTTTATTGTTACAGCTTTTAAAGCAGCAAATTTTGTTAAAGATGAAAGAATTTAGAGAGTTAGTTTTTAACTCTCACAAGGCACACTATTGATTTTTGAGAAAATTAAAGGATTTTAAGTGCGCCTTATAGTCCGAAAAATATGGAACAATACGGTATATTAAGTTTTAGCATTGCATTTTAAACATGCTGGTCTAATCAAGGATTTTAACATGGCTTATTATTTTTATTCATTTATGATTATCTCTAGCATGGTGCTTTGTATTATTTGTATTTTATCACTGTGGTTCACACCATGTGCTGGTTAACTGAAATATCCTCCTGTGATTGTAGGAAGATCAGACAACGGCAGAAGCACTCTTCTGTATCCAGCAGTGTGTCCATGCAGAGCGAGCGGTCCAAGGGTCCACATGTTGACTTTAAACATGAACAGAGGTCTGATAATCCGGGGTAGGAGCTGAAAGTGTGCAGATGTATCTGAGAAAGTACCTTAAAAAATTTTTAAGATTGGTGCAGCCATTACAGCAGGAGGGTTAATATACTTGTACTAACTAATACTAATCTAGTTCATAAAGCATGTTATCTAACTGAAATATGTTCCTGTTTGTATCAGCATTATCTTTCTATTAGTCTAAAATTGAACGCATTGCTAATAAAGTAAAAGTAAAACTGCTCTCAACAAAATACAGCCGGCTTTATGTGGGATACTTTTCACTATCTATCAGACAAACAGTGAGGGGGTGGAAGGTTGGAGGAGTTATTTACGTTTGTACTGGACTGCACAGAGTCCTGTAAAAGCTTTATTTTGAACCTGCTATTCTTAAGGAACTCACATGATAACTAAAATAAACATAAATATTTTATGTGTCTCTCTAGAGTTCAGCTTGCCCAGCAGAATCAAAAAGACCTCGACTCCATCTTCACTGTGTGTAAATGTTCACCCACTGCACTTATCGTCAAAAGTGATAGCTATTCTGGTTGGAACAACCTTCAGGCTACATGCATTAATATTTCTGTTCCAGAAACTCGAGAAGAGCATCATCAGTTTTGTGAAGGATGAGCTGAAAAAATTTCAGAGGATTCTGAACCCAGATGACTCAGTCGTATTGGAGAGTGAGAGAGAGGATGGTGAAGATGTGGAGGAGAGGAGGAGCAGCAGAGAATCATTTCTGAAAATCACACTTTACTTCTTGAGAAGAATGAAAGAGAAGGAGCTGGCCGACCATCTCCAGAGCAGTACGAGTATTTCAGTAATGTCGATGTGATGTCACTTACCTATTGCCTCGTACAGGGCATAGGCTTTGAACCTGTGGTGGTGACAATTCTGACATTTATCTTGGTGGTAAAGTTATCTCATATGATCCTCATCTGCTGGGAAGTTTACTTGTTTCTGCTGTTATGTCAGCATCTTATAACAGATGCTGACATAACATGTCTGTCAATAATGTCGCTAAGGCAAGGAAAGCGCTCATTCTCCAGGAAATGTTTAACCTTCCAACATGGAGAGCAGCATACCCTTTTCTTCTGTGGATGCCTTAGGAAGCCTTAGTTTCCCAAAATGGTAAATGATCTTTTCTGTTGCCAGTGGAAGAGCAAGGAAGGTGATTCTTGGTGACTCTATGGGTCCTGGGAGTCAACTGAGTGCCTTACAGGTCCAATATTCTACTACTTACCTCACTGTATACATATTTTTCAAGTGTCTGCCCCAAAGTGACAGAGTGACAGCGCAAGTCCGCCAATACACGATCGACAATCTGTTTTTTTAGATGCCTCTTTTTGTACTAACTTCACTTTCAAATCCAGCCACATTCTCAGCACAGTATTGGTATTTAAGACGGGTGATGGTATGTTTTGCATTTTTGCTGTAATAAACGCCTTCTCTAACACCTCCAGCTC